GTATTTTATTGTTGCACTTGCATATAGAGCTGATTCTACAAATGTATAACGTACCAATAAATTTTGATCCACACACTTAAGAAATGATGAGTTGCAGACAATTTAATTCTGAACTCGGTGCTTACTTTTTATTTAAATGAGCAAATGTTTAGTGTCACTTGTGTATCGATATGTTATTGCCTGTTTAAGAAAATGTGTTAATAGTCAGCTCAGATCGGAAGAGAGGTCAATGATGCTCTGATTTCCCCAGTGAGATAAGGCATTTTCATACATTTCACGTTACAATAATTACATGCAACATCGTCAATGTTCCTTCCTCCTTAATCCATGCATCCAATCCTATAAAACACCTGATCAATGATGGACACCCCTATGGACAGCCCTTGGTTCCCCATGATCTCATGATGTTTTACCAGACATTGTAATCATCAGGCCTTGGAATCTTACAATGCATTCCATTAATTCACATTCCAAAGTTAATGGTTATATTCCTTCAGACATTTCCTGGATTTGCTCATCTCTTGTACCCTAGAACTCTGTGGGAAGCTTGGGAAGTGATTGCTGGGCCCCTTGCTGAGATATTTGTATCATCAATAGCCACAGCTGAGGTGCCAGAAGACTGGAGATTGGCTAACATGGTGCCACTTTTTAAGAAAGGTGGTAAGGAAAAGCCAGGGATCTATAGACTGATAAGTCTGACATCAGTGGTGGGCAAGTTGTTGGAGGGAATCCTCAGGGACAGGATTTGCACATATTTGGAAAGACAAGGACTGATTAGGGATAGTGTACATGGTTTTGTGTGTGGGAAATCATGTCTCACGAACTTGGTTGAGTTTATTGAAGAAGTAACGAAGAGGATTGATGAGGGCTGAGTGGTAGACATGATCTATATGGACTTCAGTAAGGCGTTCGACAAGGTTCCTCATGGTACTCTGGTTAGCAAGGTGAAATCACACAGATTGCAGAAAGGACTAGCTATTCAGGTACAGAACTGGCTCAAAGGTCGAAGACAGAGGTTGGTGGTGGAGGGTTGCTTTTCAGACTGGAGACCTGTGACCAGTGGTATGCCACAAGGATTGTGCTGGGTCCACTGCCTTTTGCCATTGATATAAATAGTTTGGATGTGAACATAGAAGGTATGGTTAGTATGTTTGCAGATGACACCAAAATTGGAGGTGTAGTAGACAGCAAAGAAGATTCCCTCAGAGTACAACGGGATCTTGATCAGATGGGCCAATGGGCCAAGGATTGGCAGATGAAGTTTAACTTAGATAAATATGAGGTGCTGCATTTTGTAAAGGCAAATCAGGGCAGGACTTATACACTTAATGGTAAGGTCCTGGGGAGTTTTGCTGAACAAGGAGACCTTGGAATACAGGTTCATAGTTCCTTGAAAGTGGAATTGCAGGTACATAGGATAGTGAAGAAGGCATTTAGTTTGCTTGCCTTTATTGGTCAGTGCATTGAGTATAGGAGTTGGGAGGTCATGTTGTGTCTATACAGGACATTGGTTAGGCCACTGTTGGAATACGGCTTGCATTCTGGTCTCCCTGCTAAACGAAGGATGTTGCAAAACTTGAAAGAGTTTAGAAAAGATTTAGAAGGATGTTGCCAGGGCTGGAGGGTTTGAGTTGTAGGGAGAGGCTGAATAGACTGGGGCTATTTTTCCTGGAGTATCGGAGGCTGAGAGGTGACCGTATAGAGGTTTATAAAATCATGAGGGGTATGGATATGGTAAATAGATAAGTACTTTTCCCTGGGGTAGGAGAGTTCAAAACTAGAGGGCATAGGTTTAAGGTGAGAGGGAAAAATTTTAAAAGGGACCTAAGGGGCAATGTTTTCACACAGAGGGTGGTGCTGTATGGAACGAGCTGCCAGATGAAGCGCTGGAGGTTGGTACAATTACAACATTTAAAACGATATCTGGATGGATATATGAATAGGAAGGATTTAGAGGGATATGGGTCAAATGCTGGCAAATAGAAATAGGTTTATTTGGGATATCTGGTTGGCATGGACGAGTTGGACCCAAGGGTCTGTTTTTGCGCTGTATATCTCTATGACTGCTTGAATTCTGTTATTCATTGTATTCATTCGTATCTCTATCAAATTCTGCTACTTATCTTATATTTCCCACTGTCCTAAGCACAGGAGATACAAAAGGAAGTTAGTTCTTACGACAATTCCTATAAGATTCATAACATTAGTTCTACTGTAAAGTTAATTATATGTGAGGTTTTATGTTTACACCTACTGTTAGCATTCTTTAGCTAATGAGTTGTGAGCAGTTTCAGTCCCACCTGACTTTGGAGGCTCAGTTAGACACTCCCCTCTATCTTGCAGCTGCATTATAATTCATTCTAGTCACATACTGTCTTTGGGTTGAAATTTACTGCCCCTACTCTGACTAACTCTTTTTTACCTAATGGAACAACATCATTCTCAATGATAAGACTAAAACTCCATCACTTTCACTACTCAATTAACTTGTCTGCTCTCCTCGATTTTTACGAGCCATAATCATACCCTTATCATCTGTGTCTGTTGTTGTGCGATCCTACTTTTCTCTTTAATGCTTGCTTCAAATTTCAAGCTGTCTGCTCTTAGACATTTCTTATCTAACTGTCTCCTACAGGCCTCTGCAGCCGCTGTTTGTGCAGAATTCCCTGTATATTAATTTGTAAGATTCTTTGTTCAAAGTAAACCCTGTTACCTTGAGATATCTTCTTCTCAATGCTACTATTGTTCCAACTTATGACCTTACTTAAATGCCAGAGCAGGCAAGCTAGTTCTGTTACTGCAGCCATATTTATGCCTACGGCAGGCACTACTGTAACCATATTTATGCCACTCTGATCAGGGGCTACTTCAGCACCCACCTTCTCGACCTTTCCCCTCATCTGAAGCATGGTGACCCTCAGGTTAAGCCACCACCAGTCGTCTCTCTCTCTCTAATGAGAGCATGGCCCTACGGTCTGGTTGGACCATGGCAACTTTACCTTGCCTTTTAATCTCGTTCCAGTTCTTGAATTTTTAAAATAGATGAAGTCACACTAAATGCATTTTACATTGTACTACATGTAAAAAATAACATCATCAATGTCTTAACTTCCTCCTACCTCTCTGGCTCCTTCCCTAGTTATAACAAGATGGTATCTACTCAGACTCATAGAGCAACATTCATCAACTCTGTGATTAGGTTTCTGAAGCAGTATGGGTTTGATGGTTTAGATCTGGACTGGGAATATCCAGGTTCTGAAGGAAATCCGCCAGAAAATAAACAACTGTTCACATCTTTAATTGCGGTAAGAAAACAGCTCTCACTTTTAAAGCATTTAAATGTGCAGTAATTTTATCATTACTACTGATGAACTGCTAAATATCTAAACTGCTCATTTTAAGTTGCTTGCCTTTTTCCATTCAGACATATTCTCATCTAAGTGATTAAAAAAAGCTAAAAACATTGTTAGTCTGTTAAATTATTAATATTTTATCAAGTTAAAACAGACACTTAAACAGGTTATGGGACAGAATCTCGGTTTTGGAGGCTAAATGTGGTGTTGAGTTTATAAGTAGGATGTTTTTATGCTCAGTCAACAGTCAGGTCAGCTCCTGGCTCTGGGTGTTCACATATATTAGTGCAAAGTCATACAGTCTGAAATCTAGACACTGTTTATGTTCTTTCAAGCCTGTCTGCTGCAGGCAGTCTGGCTTCTTCAGCAGCAGCATCATCCGCTTTGCCTCCATCAACACCTTCATCAGACTCTCCTTATTCCCCATCTGAGGAGACATGTGGCACATCCCATTTTGCTAACTAGTCACCTTTCATTGCACCAGGTTGTGCGGGGCGCAGCAAATAATTACTGTCACATTTTGGTGAGTAATGGAGTAGTTATTCTCAACAGACCAGGTAATGCAAGAGCTTCATCAGTAGACTAATTGTCTGTTCAATGTTGGCTTTAATGAATGCATGGACATCATTGTATCACTGTTCAGCATGAGTATGAGAGTTTTACACTGGAGTCATTAACTATGCATTCTGGGGGTAGTGATTGTTGCCCATGACCCAACTCTGGAGATGGTGCAGGGAAGTGAACATTCAGGGCACCTGGTAGCAGTATAGAACAAAAGTATCATGACAGCTCCCTGAATTATGGGTGCACACCTTCAGCAATTGTAGCCTGTGATCACAAATGAGCTGGACATTGAGAAAATGAAATTCCTCCCTCATCAGGAATCTAATAGACTGATGCCAGGAAACTCTGCATGCACAATTGCAGTTAATGGCTTCTTGTACCTGAGACAATTATGTGATAGAAGCAAATCTGCCAACTCATGCAGCTTGGCTTTCTGGGACCATCACGAACTAAACAAACGGATATACTTTCCTGCGAAGGGCTATGCTGGCATTGAACTGGTTGCCTTCGTCAGGCTACACAGGTGGAAGCCCCTGAGTTTCAGATTTTTGGTGCCGTTAGCACTGGATATTCCTTTGACTT